CCCTCTTTGGTGATTAGATCATCAACATGTGAAACACATGATAATATGTAAGTTTTACACATAATAAAATAAGACTAATGGGGAGTATTCTTTTTTTTATTTTTTGTGTATTCACTCATGTGCTCCAGGATTTATTTAGTTTCTTTGATGTTCCCAGTGATAATACCAAGTAATGTTGACAAGAGAATGAAAAACAACAAAATTGCAAATAATCTTCTGCTTAGACCTCTATAACAGCTATAACAGGTAACATCTTTCCTTTAATCTTAAATGTTATTTATTTATTAAAACTCTATTATTAAAGTACATTTGCATTTTATGAATGTTTCACTTTTATAGGTTTTGCATTTAACACTATTATACAAACTCAGGTAAGACTTTTGTGTGGAAATTCCCAATTTTCTTTTTTTAAATTTTATTGATTCTTTTTAGTTATACATGACAGTAGAATCCATTTTGACATAATTATAAAAGCATAGAATATATCTTGTTCTAATTCAGACCCCAATACCTCTCCTTGCCCTCCCCCTAGCCATGCTCCCTTCCTCCTACTGATCTCTCTGCAGTTTACCCATAGTTATTTTTAAATTAATTTCTTGTGGCCATATATGATGTTGAGGTTCACTGTAGTGTGTTCATATATGTGCATAGAAAAGTTGTGTCAGATTCACTCATCAGTGCATAATATTTCTTTCAATCATTTCTTTTAAAATGATTAAACTAATGTTTTCCATATTTCATTGTTGACCTGAAAAAGGCAAAGATAAAATACTGCAGAATAATTTTCCCTTTCCAATTACCAATGTTCCTTTTATGTATCTAGCCAAAATTTTTCTTAAAGTGAAATAAATATCGGACTATTAAAACAGTCTTGGTGGGCTGGGTCTGTAGCTCAGTAGCAGAGTGTTTGCCTAGCAATTGTATATAAGGCACTGGGTTCTATCCTTTGCACCATATAAAAATAAACAAAAAAGGCATTCTGTCCATCTATAACTACAAAAAAAAGTCACGGTAAAATATATCAAGTCAGCCAGGCACAGTGGCACACACCTGTAATCCCAGCAGCTAGGGAGGCTGAGGAAGGAGTATTGCAAGTTCAAAGCCAACCTCAACAATTTAGTGAGGCCCAAAGCAACTCAGTTACTCAGCAAGACCCTGTCTCTAAAATTAAAAAAAAAAAAAAAAAGTTAGGGATGTGGCTCCGTAGTTAAACCCGCTGGGTTCAATTCTAGATTCCAAAGTAAATAAATAAATAAAGAGTATTATTTCACCTTGCTGATTTCCATACACTTTGCATAATGGATTATCTTTTGAAAAAACTAATTTTATGAATTATATAAGTGACATGAAATAAGACTATCTATTTTAAATTCATAAAACTGCGAACTGTGACTAAAATTTACTTATAAGCTAGAATTAATGTAAATACCTAGTGATATTGCATATTGAAAAAGCAGCTATGATTTAGAGATTATCATAATTTATATTGTGTTATATATTGTAGAAATATATACATGATTTAACTATTTGAATATGATATTTATAATGAGAAATTATTTGTCATGCTAATAGCCTTAACTATATATAAGAATACTTTAATTAATTCGATATTATTTTTATTTATTATCTAGGAAGAATGATTTCCTATATAGTTAATGGATAATTTAAAACTTAGATCATCATCTGCTCCTACTTTCAATTTATTCAATTTGAAAATATAATGAAGTTGACAATTTCCTAAGTTTGTGATTATTACTGTCAAATATAGAAAATCTGATTGTTAGCCAAGGTATTTTTTTTCTTTTTGGTGATAATTTTTCCACATCTGTTGCTCTTATTGTATGGTTTAATCTTCCTTTTTATTCTCTTCAAGCAATAGCAGTATTTATTTCTATACTCCTCAAAATATGCCTGTTTCCTGAGTCTCTGATAAATGTACATTCCCCCACTTCTGACATAGTTGCTTTGTATTTTCATGAGTAAAAATAGTTCAAACATGTTATACCTGGTAGAAATGGCTGGACCATGTAAATTTGGTTTAAGAGGCAGGTAAAATGCTTTGTAGAAAGTATTTATAATCAGGATAATAATCCAAAATGACAAATATAGGCAGTGGTGAATTCTTCTCATAGGACTAAACTACACAACACACCTTCTTGTCAAAGACTCACAGAATATATTGGGGTGTGCAATTATATGCTCATATCAGGACTGCAACAACTTTGAAAACTAATTTGTGGTAAATGTAAAAGTGAGAATAGGAATGAGGAGAAGAAGAGGTAGAAAATATGTGGTCTTACCTCCACCCACTCAAATTTAATTGTCAAGACAATTAGGAAAGATTAATGTTGACTACTCAAGAATGAATTCACTCTCCTTACTAGTTCCTGGTTCTGTGTATATATGTGAGCAAGCTGAATAAAGAAAATACTGATGAATTTATATGATAAACATAATTTAATTCTGTAGAAACTTGATGTAAGACTTCTAAGAAGTCATTACTTACCAAAGTCAATATTTTAAATTTATGTTTAGAACACAGTGCATCTGGACACCTTTCTAAATAGTTTAATTCAAAAGTCTCATAGTTCTCTATTAAGTTGCTAACTTATAGTGCATGTCTGTTTTCTAATTCCCCAGACTTTGGAAAATAATCTGCGAGAGAAGAATGCAGTGGATTGGGAGAGTCATGATGGTTCACATGTGGCTTCCTCAATCAAGGAAATGGTCACAAATCTGAAGAGAAATTTTCGATAGTAGAAGTACTCAGACAGATGGAATAAGAACTACAGCAGACATTTAGCCACAGAAAGACTGAAATGACGAAAGGGAGAGTAACATTTGTTAACATACTCCAAATGATGGAGATTTTACATAGCTTTCCTAATAAATTTTATCCACAATTAGAATGCATATAACATTAAGTAAGGACATGATGAGAGGGGAGAAGAGAAGATGAGAAGGTCAACTTGGAGATTTAAAAACAAATTGTTGACAGAAGTAACTATGGAAACTAAGAATAAGTGAATTCTTGAAAATATTAAGGTGCAGTCAGAGAAATGCAAATCAAAACCACCCTAAGATACCATCTCACTCCAGTTAGATTGGCAGCCATTATGAAGTCAAACAACAACAAGTGCTGGCGAGGATGTGGGGAAAAGGGTACACTTGTACATTGCTGGTGGGACTGCAAATTGGTGCAGCCAATTTGGAAAGGAGTATGGAGATTTCTTGGAAAGCTGGGAATGGAACCACCATTTGACCCAGCTATTCCCCTTCTCGGTCTATTCCCTAAAGACCTAAAAAGAGCATGCTACAGGGACACTGCTACATCGATGTTCATAGCAGCACAGTTCACAATAGCAAGACTGTGGAACCAACCTAGATGCCCTTCTATAGAGGAATGGATAAAAAAAAATGTGGCATTTATACACAATGGAGTATTACTCTGCATTAAAAAATGACAAAATCATAGAATTTGTAGGGAAATGGATGGCATTAGAGCAGATTATGCTAAGTGAAACTAGCCAATCCCTAAAAAACAAATGCCAAATGTCTTCTTTGATATAAGGAGAGTAACTAAGAACAGAGTAGGGACGAAGAGCAGGAGAAGAAGATTAACATTAAACAGGGATGAGAGGTGGGAGGGAAAGGGAGAGAGAAGGGAAATTGCATGGAAATGGAAGGAGACCCTCAGGGTTATACAAAAGTACATACAAGAGGAAGTGAGGGGAAAGGGAAAAATAATACAAGGGGGAGAAATGAAGGACAGTAGAGGGGGTAGAGAGAGAAGAGGGGAGGGGAGGGGTGATAGTAGAGGATAGGAAAGGCAGCAGAATACAACAGACACTAGTATGGCAATATGTAAATCAATGGATGTGTAACTGATGTGATTCTGCAATCTGTATATGGGATAAAAATGGGAGTTCATAACCCACTTGAATCAAAGTGTGAAATATGACATATCAAGAACTATGTAATGTTTTGAACAACCAACAATAAAAATTAAAAAAAATAAAAAAAGAAAATATTAAGGTACTTCCTATATGATAGCTTCTTTAACTCATATCACAAAACACTGGGTCATTTCAAGGGAAAAAATAGGCAGCTAAAGCCATTTGACAGTCTTATTGATTTGAATTTTGGAGAAATGAATGATATTTACCATAGGATATTTGCCCAGAATATTTTAATCTTCATCTTGAAAAATGCTGTGTTACAGGTCCTTCATACTATAATTTAAGTCAAAATATTTATTGTTTTGACTTCTGGTAAAAAGTATCTGACCACTATCGGTTCAATAATACTTTATTTTAACCTTTACATATTTCAATGTTTACCTTGCCTTGACGTTATTAAGATGGTACCATATACAGAACATGTAGGATTATGCTTAGGTTTGAATTCTTTAATCTCAATGGAGGTCTTACTTCCTTAAAATATAGAGATCATAATTGGTCATATTCTAGAACTTAATAAACTATAACACATGGTTTTGTGTTACCTTGTTTGTGATTTGTTTGATGTAAATTACTGTTGCTTCTGCTTCTGGTACTTGTGGTGTACTATAACACCCAGACCCTTTACACCCTATTCAGAGATGATTCTAAAGTATAGTGAATTGCAGAGATTCCCCACAAGAATTTTCCTTTGGAGGGTCTGAGCTACTCTATTCAAAGGATTCAAATTCTTTTTCCTCTTCTTCATCTATCTGGTCCTCTTTAAGGACTTTCTCTTTGATATGTGTTTAACTTTCACCAAGGCTGCCTTTGATATCTCTTTTAACTTGATTTTACTTGGAAACAAACAATGGGTGGGAGAGATAATGATCATTCACAGTGTAATTGCCCCAGGCTTGGCCTCTACTCTTGTGTATATCCTGACATCAACCATTCCATATTTGCGTAATTTGATCTTCGGATAATACTCCATGTTATTCTCTCTGACTACTGCTTTAATCTACAAGTTTCTTTTTATTTATCCAAGGTTTTTCTCTCTAATGTCTTCTGTAAATTTAGTTCATTTGTTAAATGGGTTTCAGTGTTTACCTGGTCTTGATCAGGTTGAGGAGGCCTCAAATTAGTTTCGAAAACATATGCAGAATTATGCTGAGGTCGAAGTCCAGACAAACTCTTCTGTTCTCTGAAATATTAAAAGGATAAAACACACAATAAAGATAGAGCAGTTGCTTAATTGTCTGTAAATCACTTGTTTAATGAACTTTTTTGACAATACAGGATGTTTGTTTGAGTTTTAAGACTGTAACCATGAGAAAGCAAAAACGGTAGTTAAAATTTGTGGGAAACTTAACATGAACTGACTTTATCCAAAATTTTATTATAAAATACTTTTAAGCATATATCAAAGTTGAAAGAATTTTACAGTGAATGCTCATATATATTCCACCATTTTTACGATACTTGTTTTAAATGTATCTGTTCATCTATTCAACCCTGGATCCATCCATCTTATTTTCATGCAATTGAAAGCTAATTTGAGACTATTTCAAAAGAGTTACATTATCTTCTTTGAATACTTACAAAAAGTCTAGGAGTTAATTATATTTTGAAGATGAGAAACCTGAGGCTGAGATATTTTAAGAAAATTCCCATAAAACACATAGTGATTCATGAGCCCCACTCTTAGTAGTTTGATGAATTTTACTTTATCCATTATACTAAGCAATATCCCAGAGTATGTTTGGATTCACTTTGTCAAGTAACAATTCATAGAATGGTGGAGAAAATACAAAGGAGCTCAAATTAAAACATATTTAATTGGAATAAAATAAGGCAGCTCAATTTTTATTCAATAAGCTTATAAATCAGCCCAAATTTTTGGGAACACTTCTATTATCTTGATTTATAATCAAGCTTCCCATTTTGCTTATTTTTTAATATTTATTTTTTGGTTGTAGTTGGAAACAATCCCTTTATTTTGTTTATTTATTTTTATGTGGTGCTGACGATCGAACCCAGGGCCTTGCACATGCTAGGCGAGCACTCTACCTCTGAGCCACAACCTCAGGCCTTTTTTTTTTTTTTCTTTTTATTGGTTCTTGTCATTGTACATGACAGTAGAATAAATTTTGGTATACTTATACAAGCAAGGAATATATCTTATTCTAATTCAATCCCCAGTATTTCTCCTTTCCTTTCCCTCCCCCAACCCCTGCTCCTTTCCCTCTACTAATATTTATGCTATTTACCCAGTTATTTTTTTAAATTTCTTGTGAATGTACATGTTGTTAAGATTAACTGTGTTATATTCATATATGTACATAGGAAAGTTATCAGATTTTTTCTGCTCTTTCCTTTTCCCATCTCCCCTCCCTTCCCTTCATTCCCTTTTGTCTACTCCACTTTCTATTAAGGAGGAAACTACCTAAGGGATCCACTCAGTCACAGCAAGTCAGTAGAAGTGAGAGAATTGGAATAAAAAAAAAACTGTTGTAGAAAAGAATGGCAGCTATTATAAAGTCAAACAACAATAAGTTCTGGTGAGGATTTGGGGAAAAAGGTATACTCATACACTGCTGGTGGGACTGCAAATTGGTGCAGCCAATATGGAAAGCAGTATGGAGATTACTTAGAAAACTTGGAATGGAACCACCATTTGACCCAGCTATCCTTCTCCTCGATCTATATCCAAAGGACTTAAAAACAGCATACTACAGGGACACAGCCACATCAATGTTTATAGCACCACAATTCACAATCGCTAAAATGAGGAACCAACCTAAATGCCCTTCAGTAGATGAATGGATTAAAAATGTGGCATATATACACAATGGAATATTACTCAGCAATAAAAGCGAATAAAATCATGGCATTTGCAGGTAAATGGACAGAGTTAGAGGAGATAATGCTAAGTGAAGTTAGCCAACTCCAAAAAAACAAAAACAAATGCTGAATGTTTCCTTTGATATAAGGAGGCTGATTCACAGTGGGATAGGGAGAGGGAGTATGGGAGGAATAGACAAACTCTACATAGGGCAGAGGGGTGGGAGGAGAAGAGACAGGGCAGGGGGTTAGCAATGATGGTGGAATGTGATGGACATCATTATCCAAAGTACACGTATGAAGACATGAATTGGTGTGAACATATTTATATATAAAAAGAGATATGAAAAATCGTGTTCTATATGTGTAATAAGAATTGTGATGCATTCCACTGACATGCATTTTAAAAATAAAAGCAATTTAAAAAAGGAAAAGAAAACTTTGGCATAGGAAAACTACAAAAACTAGTTTTAGAGTGTTTACAAGTATGTTTTCTAATTAAGATGATTCTTTACTATCTCGGGGGGTTATCAATCTATGTCAAATGGTGACATGAAATTCTTCAAATTGATGTAAACATATAAAATTTAATTTATTAGCACTAATATTATATATATATATATATATATAGTGCTTTAAAGAACATGGAATAATGGTATGAAAGAATTATGATTTTGAAATGACAAAATGGAGAGTTTTTCTCTCTTCCCTTAGAGACAAATATCTAAGGCTGTTCAAACTAATGACTTTATTATAAATTGCAAGCCTATTCTTAGGCATTTGAGGCTAATAGTAACAGACACTTTAAATTTTAAATAAATATTTCAACCTGTTCTTTTAATACATAGAAGGTAACATTATCTTGTCACTACTTTAAACTTGATGCCAATTTGAATTAACTGACATAAAATTTAGGAGATTTTACTCTATTGGTACTTACACATCATATCTTTATCATTTTAAGGCCGTGAAAAGTAAAAAGAGTACAGTTTACTTCTAAAAAAAGAAATAAAGGGAATGCAGCAGGGCATTGCAGCTTTCGAAACACTGTTTTATCTAATTAGATTTCATAGCATACCATGGACCTAGTTCTAGTATTCAGATTTATCCCTGTGACCTTGGCCAAATTTTAGATCTCTTTGGATCTCAATAATTTTATCAGTACTTAGTCGTATTGTTGAGAGGAATACATCGATTGTTAAATGTAAAACATTTGCAATCCAGACTGAAACACATAATAAACCCTCAACAAATGACTGCTGCTCTCAGTATTATTCTCACCCTCTATGTGAAGTGAATAGTCATGATTATAACCATCCCTACTTTATAGATGGAGAAATTAAAGCCCAGTGAGGTGAAGAGACTTACCCAAGATAGAATAAGATTACAGAGAAATCTATTGGTTTCCTCTTTCCATTTCTGTCATTGCTGCTGGGATTTGGGACTAAATAGGAAGTACTGGCACAGCAGCCTCCCTCCCCTCACCCCGATTCTATATGTACGCACATACTGCCTAGGTGGAAAGAAAGCATTGAGATAAGACAATTATTTTGTGAATTACACTTGTTTTTTAGGTTTTTATTGCAGGAAAGGATTTCCCAGTTTTTGCTCTATATCTATATCATGAACAAAATATGTCTAGTTTGGCAGTGTTAATCTGAATTTGCTAGAATTTAGTTAAATGTTGATGAATATGAGAGAACATACCATTTGAATACTTGATCAATGGTATTATTTCTTGATTCGTTTGCTGATCTCACAAGAGATTTCCCATTATTTTCAGTGGTATTTGGAAATTTCTTACCGGTTATTATCTAAATTCTTCTTTGATTTCTTTTTACAGTAGTGGATTGTCTGGATTGTCACACCAACTATTAAAGCCAATCCTATTCCAGGCAATGTTGCTACTAAAATCAGATCCAGGGTATTCCAGAGCTGGTCACATTTAGCTCCCATGAACCAATAGTTTCCCCACCGGCCTCTGAAGTTTGGACATCTAAAGATAATAGAAATAGAAAAAGCTTACAAATTAGGGGGAAAAACACATTTTGACTCCTCTGAGTGAATCCAACATTTCATTGTTATTCAACCATGAGGTTTCTCTTTAAGGCCCTCAAGAGATTTGTTGTCCCATTTTCCACTTGAGCAAGCATTCTAAAAGTACAGTTTTAAACACATTGAGTCAGCATGTTGAAAGCTGTCAGGATTTTCCAACCATTAGCTAATGAAGATGTGGCACTTAGTTACATCTGAAAAAGAGGTGTGTGTGTGTGTGTGTGTGTGTGTGAGAGAGAGAGGGGGGGGGAGAGAGAGAGAGAGAGAGAGAGAGAGAGAGAGAGAGAGAGAGAGAGACTCTCAACCAGAATGGTTTTCTCAAGGCTACTTAAAAAAATATCCACATTTACCCACTGCTTATACCTTATACCTTTGTTAACTGTGGATGTTCTATATCTATTATTGGTGCTATGAAAAGTGTTCAAAGCAGCTTAAGCTACCAGTTCTATAATTGCAGGCTGAGTGTCACCCCCCATCCATTCATACAGAGATGAATGCAGGTTTACATACTACTTGCCACTCTATAGCAAATGCAAGAAGAAACATGAGAAGGTGAGAATATGACTGCCCCCATTTTTGTCATGACTCCAGATTTTGCTCCTTTATTTCACAGAAATATATATATATATATATATATACACACACACACACACACACACACAGCCATGGAACTCTGCAAATAAAGCCAATTTTTTTCTCTGGTACACAGACTAAAAACTGGCATGGTGTATATTCACATAAAAATTTCTATAATTTGTATGAGTGTATCTTTTCCCCCACATCCCCTCCAATACTTATTATGGCTTGTATTTTTTTTAATATATTTTAGTTGTTGATAGACCTTTATTTTATTTATTCATATGTGGTGCAGAGAATTGAACCCAGTGCCTCACACATGCCAGGCAAGTGCGCTACCGCTGAGCCACAGCCCCAGTCCTGAGCCTCAGTCCCAGCCCATGGCTTGTATTCTTGATAATTGCCATTGTGACTGGGGTGAGATGAAATCTTAGAGTAGTTTTGATTTGTATTTCTCTAATTACTAAAGTCATTGAGCAAATTTTTCATATATTTGATGACTGCTTATATATCTTCTTCTGATAAGTGTCTGTTCAGTTCCTTAGCCCATTTATTGATTTGGTTTTTTTTTTGGTATTATGTTTTTCCAGTTCTTTATATATCCTGGAGATTAGCACTCTATCTGATGTGCGTGTGGTAAAAATTTGCTCTCATACTGTAAGCTCTCTCTTCACCCCAATGATTGTTTCTTTTGCTGAGAAGAAGCTTTTTAGTTTGAATCCGTCCCATTTATTAATTATTGATTTTATTTCTTGCACTTTAGAAGTCTTGTTAAAGAAGTTGGGGCCTATCTGACTATGCCGTTTTGATTGGTATAGGTTTGTAGTATATTTTTGAAGTCAGGTAGTATGATATCTCCAGCTTTGTTCTCTTTTGCTCAAGATTACTTTGGCTATTGTGTTTCCATATGAATTTCAGATTTTTTTTATATTTCTGGGAGAAATTTCATTGGGATTTTGAATTGAAAGTAGACTGTAGGGTAAAAGATCTTTTTCCATGGAGAAACAAGGAGAAAGATCACAAAAATATTCAGTAATCTAGGCAAGAGATGATGACAGCTTTGGCCAGGATGAAAGCAGTGAAGATGGAGATGAGAAGTGGTTGATTTCTGTTATCTTTTTAAAGATAACCAATAGGATTTACTGAGGAACAGTAAGTGGCCAGGCATGAAAAGGAAGAATGAAGGATGATTTCAAAGTTTTTGGTGAGAAAGACTGAAAATAGTTTATGGCAGTTGTGGGAATTCAGATGTTTTTTGTACTTGCTTATTTTGAGATGGGTTTTAGATATACAAATGAAGATGGTGAGTAGGCAGCTACGTCTCTGAGTCTGGAAGTAGGAATTTTCCCACATAGATGATATTTAAAGTCATAAGACTGGATAGATAACCAAAGGAGAGAGTGCAGATGAAGAATACCAGGGACTGGGATATTGTAGCATTAAGTACAAAATAAATCATAAGTAGACAGTGAAGTAGAAGGAAAAAATAAAACATAAAAGGGAATGTTCTGGAAGCCAAGTGAAAATTCAAGGAAGAGAACACAATGACCAATGTTAAGTGCTGCTGGTGGGTTAAGTAAGATAAGAACTGAAAGCAGTGAGAAGAAATGAACTTACATTTGGAGCCAATTCCTATTCTGGGAAGTTTATATATTTTATCCTATTCAATTCACACATCAATAATCCTGGGATGGATGTATATATATATACACATACTATATATATATATATATATATATATATATATATTTCATAAATATTATACATATATTAAAATATATAAAATATATAATTATATATATAATTGTTTTCTATCACCAGTATGAAATGAAATTTTATATTGAATACATTTATTTTTAAAATTTGATTATATTTAATTACATGTAAATATTTACATTGTAAATGTAAATATTTACATTGATTGTGCCAGAATAACTGTGAAATATATTTATTTTTAAATGACAGAAAAAATTGTATTTATCATGTGTAACATGATGTTTTCAAGTATACAAATATACATTGTGGAATGGTTATATCTAGCTAATTATGATATGAATGTCATCAGAAAGGTTTTTTTTTTTGGTGAAAGCACTTAATATTCACTTTCTTGGTATTTTGCATTAACTATATTCGCCATGCTGTACAATTGATCTCCCACTTTCTTGGTATTTTTCATTAACTATACTCACCATGCTGTACAATAGATCTCTTGAACTTATTCCTCCTATGTAAGTGTAATGCTGTATCCTTTGACCAACAACTCATAAGTAGTTGGCCTTTTTATTTTTGCACATCGGTATGTGTGAACATTGGTTGGAGGATATATTAACTGTCAGAACCAAAAGTACATATTGGACATGTGTTCTCAGTTTTGCCAATGTTATTAAGTTGTCTATCTTCAAATATATTTTCAATTTGGCTTTTTTTACTTTTTTATTTGGAACATCTGTGTGTTCGTGTATGTACGTGTGTGTATGTGTGTGTGTGAGATCTGTGTGTCATATCATGGATAGTGGTGGTGGTATATGTGTCTTTGGTAAATTTAAGAAATGTTATTAAAATATTTTAAGATTTTAAAATGATTATGTCATATAGTTTGATATATTTAATCCTGATTTATTAATGTCTAACTGATTGATAATGTTAAAACAACTGATCCAAACCATATATTAAATATATTTAGTAATAAAAATTATCTTGTCACTATGTATGGGTCTAGCTTGACAAGATTGCAGCCAACTTGAGTCATAACCACCATGATTGCTCCAGATTAATCTTATTTTTTCCTACATAGTTTCCTAGTAAACTATAATTAGGCAAAACTGTTAGAGTGGTATGGTAAATTTTACAACTGAACTCTGACTCCTGGAATGTGTCTGAGTATGTATATTAGCTTAAGATGAACCATGTACATCCAATTAAAATAAGTTCATTTTTGTCTAACCTATGCCCCTCCTTCTGATCCAAATTGAGTGGATCCACTTGGTCTTGCTGCAGACCAGGTCCATGGTTCTGTCATTAAGTCCCCCAATGCATTTCACTTTATGCAATCTGATTTTTGTTTTCCTCTCTTTCCTCAGTCTCATGTCACCTTGTATCCAGTATTCACATATAAGAACTGGGTTATTTTGGAAGAATTGGCAAGCCAGTGAAGAAGAGTATGAAATGGGAAAGGGTATGGAAGCATCTGTATGAGAAGTTCCAAGTTGGTCACATAATTCCTTTGGATGGGGAGTATCTCATATTAAATATCTGCAGCCTTCTGCGTGAGTACAGGGATACCTCAACTGGGTTCAGAGCATCTGTTTGTTCAATGTCATTTATCCTAACCTGAAAAGAAAGGGTACTTTCTTTCCATTGCAGTGGGATGGTCATTATTTTGGGCAGTCATTTGGCCATCTATATAGAGCTCAATTTTTCATATCTCTGGTTGTGTACAAAGTATATTCACACCATTCGTGTTCTCATACATGTAATAAAATAAATATATTTTATTACTAAATATATTTAATATATGGTTTGGCCAGCTGGTAGTGAATAAAATATAAATAGACGAGTTACAACGTGAAAGAGAAATGCATCTCTCTTCCTCTTAGTCTATAACCTGGCCGAGAAAAAGGAAAAACAAAATTGAAACTCCAGCTTGTCTCTTGTGCAACAGGAGGAAGAACTGGAATTGTAAACAGGTGAGAGATGTTATCTCAAGATCAGAAGGAGATGCAAAGAATTCCAATCCCTGGGAGAAGGAGGTTGAGGAAGAATCTGACTTTGAAGTAAAAGAGGACAGGTACTCCTCCTCCTGCCTGTGAGCTTTGCTTTTTTCTTGACCATTAATGGAACACAAAGCAAAAGCACAGCATATGCAGTTGTGGGGTGGGGGGATCTCCCATTCAAGAAACTATAACTGTCCAGAATAATACTATGCTACAGAATTGCTAGATATTGCAAACATTTCTAAACCACTACCTTGTGTGTGACTGCCCAGAAAATGAGACTGTAACATAGAAGGGTATAGCATTTCTCAGACAGGAAATGAATTTGATAATGAGAAATACTGCCACCACACTCTTCCACGATGATATTCTTCCTCATCTCAGACTCCAAGGAATGCGACTTGCTCTCCATGGACTGAGATTTCTGAAACCATGATCCCCCAAATAAACTTTTCCTTCTCAACTTGTCAAGTCTTTCTGGTCACAGTGGTTAAAAAGCTGACTAAATATGGATATTCCTTGGAAAACCAGGAATGGCACCACCTTTTGACCCAGCTATCCCACTCCTAGGTCTATACCCAAAGGACTTAAAAGCAGCATACTATAGGTACACAGCCACATCAGTGTTTACAGCAGCACAATTCACAATAGC